ATCAAGTATGTACCTGAAAAACTAATAACCGTAGATACTTTTAAGTTTCACAGTATATTTATTTAACTATTTAGTATTTCATGTACACCATTAAATTTTCAAAATATTTTGACTCTTCTTGAATTGTTTATATTGGTATAGGAAAATTTTGATTTTTATTAGTTTTTTTAAAAAGTTATATTGATTACAATACTTTAAAAAGTAATAGGTATAACGCTAAGTTTTAGTATATAGAAATCAGAAAAAAGTTTAGGGTAAAGCTACAAAATGTATTTAGGCAAGTGCGTCTGAAGTTTGAATGTTGACAAAATTTGTTTAAATCAAAACTTTTGAAACATTGAGTTAGAAATACATTTTTATGAATGTTTGGATATTATTCTTTAATTTAAATTAAAATTTTTTACTAAATGTTTATTTTATAATTTTCAAAATATTTTCTTTAGTTTTGAGCCATTACGAACCTTTAAAATTTTCAATTTTTCAGTTTTTATTTTCTTTAAATTTCGATAAAATTGTTGTTGTTAGGTAAAAAAGATTGGAAAATTGACTTACAGCGTACATTTAAAATCTGTGTTTAGATGCAAATATACAAATAATTATCTATTGTACTTTCTTATCAATAAATATTACTTTTCTATGAAACTTATCAAAAGATAGTCCCAGTTAAAAACTATTCCATTTATTGTAAATTTTATATCGGTTTTCCACATTCACAGTTACAACTTAAATTGCAGGTAGTATAGGAGCCGAGAGATATTCCTACCATGTTTGATTTTTTTAATTAATTAGCTATTAGATTGCTTATCTTACGTTTTGATAAACAGTTGTTGCTTCTACACCGAAAACAAAAAAAAAACAATTCATTTCTTGAAGTTGTTTTTGAAATGTCTACAGTACAGTAGTACACAGCGTTAAAGCGAGTAATCAAGACATAGAGCATTCAATAAACGGTTTGCAATTTTACTTGAATAAAAATATGTATTATCTTCCCTATGCTTGTTCGACCACATTATGATTATAAACATTAGACTTTGAAATTCATTGACTTACGACTTCAGCATCTTTTCTGATAGGAAATTGAAATATATCTAGTTGTTACTTTTATAATAGAAAATGTTCAATAGTGTTGAAAGCATCGGAAAATGGGTGTAACTCAATACATAATATCATTAGATACTTTAAATTTGTATCATATGTTAATATAACCATTCCCTATTCATAATTTATTCGAAATATTTCATTTTTTTGGAATTTTTATGGCCATAGAAATTTTTTATTTATTTTTCAATTATAGCTGATAAGAAATAATTGATTCATTTAACAGCTTGGTAATTTAATGTAAGGATTATTATACGTTGTTTTAATAGTACTTCAAATATATTAAAGATCTATAGGCATGGTTATTTTTATATACGTTTGATGTTCAAATTTAAATGATTTCTACCTTTATGAAAAAAAGTTAATCGGGTGATCCTCTAACCCTGGAGTAGCTGTCTCTAAGTATTTGGATAAAGATAGTGTTTGAATTTTGAGGTATTATAGAAAAGCATACATTTAAAGACGCCAACAGAGGGGACTGGTGGTGCATTTGCACTACCTGAGAATTTAAATAATTTGGATTTTTCAAATAAATAATAAAATATAAAAATTCCTCCTCCTTTCATTTATAATTTATGTCTATGATTATTTAGTAAATATTAAATAACTATTGTGTTCTGATAAACCGTCGTCTGTCGCACTTAAGTACTGATTACTGACTTGGGTACAATTACGAAAGAACTCCAAGAACGGTAATATCACTCATCTAATGATATTATTATTATTTATACATTATTATGGGTATGTTCAAGTAACTTTATATGATTACAATAAGTTACTCGAACATAACGGTGTATAACCTAAATAAAATATTATGAAAAGTATAACTATTATTGTACACTTGGGTTTTGAATTTGAATTAAATAATTTTTTTAACTTCAGAGATGTCATTAATTTAAGGTAAGGGGGTTTGGGGGGGCAAAGCTCGTCACGTCTTATATATTGACACTAAAAGTATTTTTCACCTAGTGTGCTACTCCTCTGCGGGCGTCCTTGAGCGCAATATGAATAATAAATTATTGTAGATGTTGTTGCCGTCGACGTTGTACCTACTAACTGCAATACACTTCTGAAATAATAATGAACTAATGAATTATGTATGCGTCAACAGGTTCATTTTTAATCATATGTACCTATAAGTAAAAGCTTCTTCTGAGACTTTGTTAAAAGGGCGTCCAAGGACCAGGTACAATAACCATTATACCACCTACCTGTAAAGTGATCTCCAAACATTTATGTATCCTAGGAAGATTTTAATTATTGTCCAATAACCAACACAACAAATTTATAATGTAAATACCTAAACACATAACATTATTACTAGCGTCATGCGTAGATAATTTGTATCTCTATAATATAAAAATACATACTTGTACGATTTCACGTGATATTATTGTCGTCATTGGATTTCATGTAACCCTTTGTTGTTGCTTTTAATATAAAACGTGACATAATAAGTAGGAAGGTATAGCATCGAAATAACGCAGCAAAATGAACTTTTGCAATGCAAAATCTGCAGCCACTGTATTATTTTATTGTTACTATTAGGATTTACAGTGGTATTTCTTTTGTATTTATTCTACACTGTTATATGCCCAGTGTATTTTTTTGAGTACAGGTTCACACTAAATTTAAGACGATACGTGATCCGTATGACTGTACCTATACCTATAATAGAATTTTCAGATGGTACTAATAGTAGATAATATCATATTAACTACCAAAAAAATATTTTGAGAACCAAAAACCAAACAACCAACAAAAATTACCCAACATTTGATATTCAAGTACTTTGAACTTGTTATTCTTGTGGTTTACCTAACAATGATAAATACTTATATTTCTTATTAAATAAAAACCCAAAACAGCATTGGTAATTGGGACTCAAATTGTATAACAGAAAATGTCTTTCTTTTTTTCCTGATAATTATATAATAATTATATTATATACATATATTTGTATTATTAAATTATTGTCTACTGTAATTCAAAATGCATTAGGTATTTCACTACTATATTAGTTTATCTAGTTTTAAGATTCGCTTTTTTGAGGAAACCGATGGTAACTGCAAGTGGGAATAGGAGGTTAGGGAGATTCTAATTAATATTCAAAAAGTGTTGAGCTAATTCCTTAATTTACATAATTTGTACTGTATGTCGGCATTCTGTCATTATGTGCAGTTAGATCATAACATTGCCTATCTGATCATAGGACAACGGGATGGGCTGAATTAGGGAATCGTTTATATTCATTAGGTGCTTGTGAATCCTCGTATGCCCAATAGGTATGGAGTGTTATTGGTATAACTTCGAACTTACTTGGTAGGTCTGTATAGAAAATTAGCATATAGATAGAAATCTACATCTTAAATAATGGATCACGACAATTCACTTATCTATTTTGATAGTGATCAAAAACTTTTTGCCATCTTTCAGCTCAGTCAATATATCTTCTTTTTGCACCTGCAAAACATGGATTTTGTTCAACGATTCTTCTTTTTTAAACGCGTTGATACATTTCCGAATAATAGGATGTATTACAATTAACGTAGATCAAAAACTAATATGCATTTACGCCACCCTTCAAACAGATCTTTCTTTCTTATCTATAGATATTCAAAAACTTAGATTTAAAATATCAATATAATGTGTGAAAACATATGTTCATATAAAATAACCGCGGTCAATTATACTTAGACAAATTATTGTAGAATTAGAACAATTAATTCAGTACATGTGGTGATTAGTGTCCAAGTAGAATTGTTTATATTATATTGTATGCATAACTCTTCCAAACAATAATGTGAACAAATGTCAATTAATTTTTTTATCAGATAATTCAAATTTACTTTGCGAGGTTCTCAATATGATGTTCTTACAGAAGTTCAAGGTTAGGATTACAAAAATATGCAATATATATATTTATTTATTTAATATTTGTTTGTTTCATAACATTTTTAATTTTCACATGACTAAGGCTAGACGATTTGGTACAGAATTTTCAAAGGTTATTTGAAGTTGAAACCTAATCAAACAACTTTAGGATAGAGTTACATGCAATTTTATGAGCGATTCAATTTCAAATTTTTATGACATTGGATATACACGCATAAAATAAACATTTCTCCTCAAACGATTTTATTTTATTTTGTTTTATCAAGAACTTCAAAAACTCTACAATTATGATTATATAATAATTTTCGTTACAAAGTGCAATTTTAGGTAGTTTAGTAAATTATATACATAATAGAGGAAAAGTTCCCTACGAATAAAATTTTTTAAATTACAATATAATAACTAAAATAGTTATTTCAAAAAAACTTTGACTTTGGATGGCTAAGTAAAAAAAACTGAACCAATAATGTATATTTCATAATTTTATATCACTGTTAGAGTTATCTGGAATAAGGCATAAGCTTGTATTTATTTTTAAATCTTTTGACAGAGAAAAAACATTTTGTTTCCTCCTCCCCCTATTCTTACTCTTGGCTAAGACACTGGATATTATTATATATTATTTTATAATTATATATATATATACAAATATTATATATTTTACTTTTTCTAGACTTATATATTTATTTATAATATTATTATTATCGTGATAAATATTTGTACTGTGCGTGTCAAATAAAATGCTAAGAGTATATTATTTGTTTGTGTTCTGTGTTGGTATATCATTTTTTATTATACCTACTCCACGATTTGTCGGTGACGACGTGGACGAATTACAAACATAAATTAAGGACACCCGACAACGTCCCTTCTCCTATGAATTAATAGAATCAAATTGCATACACAATCATCATGACTGTAATGCGGACACAACAACAATATTACTTCAATCTAAAACACACACACACACACTACGACGAATATTGCTTGTTGTCGTAATAATATGACGACCACTCGTCATCAGTTTTACCGTAGTCATCTCGTACCCGTCGTACTAAGTTTGTCGTCTAATCCGCTACGAACACGTTCGAGCACAACGGCTTAACCACGGTTATTGTATTCGGTTCGGTTCGGTTCGTCATATTATCATCGATCTACATTTGTTTTGACGGGATGTAGAGTTTTCGAAAAACGGCGGGCAGACGTAATATTATAACATTATATCCGGTAAAAATAATTTAGGTGAATAATCACCGTATTAGATAAGATACATGACGTCTCCCCGATTTTTTTCAGTTATTCTTAATACCTACTGTTTAATATTAAGGAAATATTGTAATTTAAATGATAATATTTAAATACAAATGATTGGCATTATAAATATTTTTAAATAATCTCACTAATCGCACACCACCGTTATTTATTATTGAAGGGTAACGAAATATCATCCAAAATTAATTTTAACATATAATATTACGTCATATTGATTTTTCATCGATAATTAATTTTCTAAATTCGTGATTTTTCTTCTTTTCAACATTTTTGAAAATAATATTCTAAATATCAAAGGTAATATGAAATGCGTACAATCCTAGTGCGAACCGACGAGTATCGGTGAGACGTCTCATCCATTAATGTTATGTTTTTTATGCGCATACATAAGGCACTACACAACACTTATCGTGTTATAAATTGCATAAGATCACTGCAGCGGTACTTTTTAATTATGTTACTCTCGGTTCGGCATCTTTTCATACATTTTCACTGTAAAAATAAGATCAATAAAAGTTAAATGCCACTTGCAAGCACTGCTGAATTGGAAACTGAGCGATTGTGCCTCGGACAAGATATCGCGCGTTAGTGCATTCCGATCACGTCATATAGATTCGTAAATAGTAAAATAATCAAAAAATAATTATATAATAATAGCTCTAGCCTCTGTTGAAAATCAAATAGTGTCCGACAGAAGCCAGGGGTAATGCATATAATTAGGGTGGCTCTAGGCTTATTCTTGTAATTTTCAAGTTTGCGGCACCCATCAATTTTTTGTTAATGCGTAAGAAAATATTAACTGCAAGGTTTGTAATCAAAACTTCAATTTTAAGCCACGCCAGCTCCTAGAAACTTGAGCATATGTATAAAATACTAGTTCGTTTGACGGGAAACCCAAAACTAATGAATATAATTAAATATTGTTATTATTTTTTTTTGATTGTGACCTTTACGAAAAAAAAAACATCTAATGAAACAAGATTGCAGTTTCCCCGAAAAACAGTTTAACACTTGTCTGTTTTTTTAACTAATTAGGTATATATTAAGCAGACATTACACTGGCATTTTTTAATTTACACACATTAAAATCATCATAACTTACTTAAAAATAATAATATCAAGGTCATATGATTGCCTTTAAAATTTAAAGATGTTAATTCACTATAATTTTAGAAATTAAAGAGCAAGATGTATTATTGTGATCGCAAAATTTGCCATGTTGTATGTTTGTAAGGCAGTACAACAAATGCCCGTGTGGCATCCTCTTAATATAATAGTATTGGGTTACTAATTTAAGTAACTATAAATAAACATACTAATCAAAAATAATTTTTAAAAAAATTCTCGTATAAGTGGATGGTAGTTTGGAAAATTAGATTTTATAGGAAATAAGTGTACTTGATAATTTCTAAATTAGAGTTGTAAATTATTGATAATCAGTGGCAAAATATTGGTAAGGGTTCGAGGTTGATACGACAGTGCCCACCACATTATACACCCCCCCCCCCCTTTATACACCTCCAATCAAAATACATTTTTATCGGGAACGGTATGAGGTTCCTAATTCGGAAAACTAGGTTCCAATTAGTTCCAAATAAGTTCAAATGCTAAAATAGTAAAGGTTTGAAGTCAAAATGGCAATGTGGGAGGTAACCAACTTCACGCAACTTTTTTGTATGCAAAGATTTATGATGATTAAGTTAAAATATATTACATCCATCAAAGTATGGCATGCTCGAAATTGATAACTACTGTATAATAGAGCGGTACCAACTCCATTTCATTTTTTTACATTTTTTAATGAACAGTTTGTTTTTGGAATAGATAAAATAGTTTTGAGTACAAAACAGTTAACTTATAATTGAATCAAAATCCCAAATTTGAATTTCATCCTACAGATTGACAGATTTTTATTGTTGTCATGTGATATAGTATTTTATACTGTTTAAGCGGCCCATAAAATCCAATGATTCGAACCTCCACACATGGAGGTGCATTGATTAAAATAAAACTCTTATAGGTGTTATAGGTGATAAACTGATAACATTTGCAGATTAATCTCATGTCCCATTCCAATAATGTCAATTTATATGTCACACAGTGTCTTTCATGACACCAAAATACTATCATACCAAATACCAATTTGACTATAATTTATACAGTTTATAGGCAGCTGATGATAACAATACTAGTGACAATTATTTATTATATCGGATAAACGTTGTTAGAGTAAAAATAAAAAATATTCATCACTTTCAAACAACTTTTAAGAACTGTCTAATTCACAGAACAGAAGTTTGAATATTTGAATATTTGAATATTCACATATCCCAATCATTATTTCATTTTCTTTTAATTATAGCTTTAATTGTAGCAAAACAAATACCAGTTCAAAACCTTAACGACGACAGTAAGTTCTAATCGACCAAAAAAAAATCGTCTTGTAACTATGTAATTTTATAGTGATTCTCTGTTAAGAGAAGTTATATTACTCAGTTATATACAAAATCGATAATGCCAGAATTTATAAACATTTAATCAGTGAACGGCAACAACGGCGACATTTCCAATTAATGAAAAAAAACATTTACGTGAACGATCTTACTAATAGCCGGAGAACGCAGATGGGAAATATGCAATACTCATGTGGCGTGTGCGACAGGTCTTTTAAATAGGTATACCCAGCTGACGTCACACCAGCGGACGCTGCATGCGGGAGAGAAACCTTTCCTCTGAGATGTATGCGACAATTCATTCAGCGAAAGTGGCAGTTTGACAAAGCATCGGTGGAGACACATAAGGAGAGAAACCTTATCCATGTGACATATACGACAAGTCCCTCAATGAAATTGGCAACCTGACTGCACACCAGAAGACGCATACTGGAGAGAAACGATACCCTTGAGACATAGGTAACAAGTTGTTAAGTCAAAGCTACTCAATGGCATTACACCAGCTGAAACACAAGGACCGGATCTTAAAAATATGATCTATTCTCTCGCTCTATATTCACAGATATTAATTTTGATTGTCATAATCATCATAGTTGTTTCACATGTACATTTTGGTGTCATAACAGTCGTCAGTGTGTAACATATAGATAAGATATTAGAATTAGACATGAGTCTAATCTGCAAATGTTATTGCACATAATACAAACGATTTTTAAAAAGCTAAAATAAATAGAAAATGAAATAAGAATTTGGAAGAATTCAGATGTCTGAATATTCAAAATACTATTTTGTGAACCAAACAATTCCGAAAAACTGTTCTAAAGTGGTGCATTGTTTTCAATTTTACACAGACAAAAGAAAATAAGTAATACATTTTTTCTTACATTTTTTTTCTTTATTTCATTCAAATTTGTTTATTTTTATTTTTTATTGAATTTATTAGTGCTATCACTTATTTATAATAATTATAGATGTATTATTACAATTACTGATAAGTTCCGTTAAGTTATTTATACATTTTATTATTCTAGTGTAGTCAGATCAGTAGTTAGTGACACTAGATGCACTATAGAATTCAGCTACAGCCTACTGGTCTACTTACCGATACCGATTTCCCATCTTTTAGGTTTCTAAAAACATAATTGTAGAACAATAAACCTCTAATATCTCTGTATATCTATTAGTTTCCAGCACATAGTTATAGTAGTTGATATTAAGGTATTCATGTACAAACTCCCTAGCTCCTGCTCAGTTTTTACAGCAAATTCAATTGCCACAATAAAAGCTCTAGAGCTAATAATAAATCACCACTTCCAAGACGCCATCATCTTCACTGACTCCCCTAGCGATATAATATTTGTTATATGTATAACTCATCAGATATTGGACTATATATTCAAAATAAAATCTACACTCTACAAAACAAAAATAAATACAAAATCAAACTCTTCTGGATTCCCGGATACTCTACATCATCGAAAATTAGCTCACTGATCTCGTAGCCGAAACCGCAATCACCTCTCCACTATCATAGTTCACACAAATAACTTCATTTAGGGACATACAAATGCTTACAATAAATAAATGCCAACTATGATGGCACTAGAAATAGACATCAACCCCACTTAACTGAATCATATCAAAGATAACAACCGACGATTGGACATTCCCTATCGAAACACCCAGACAATTTGAAGTTATAATTTCAAGACTCAGTATCGGACATACTCAAACTACAGTTTCTTAATGGCCAAAGAAGAACCCCCAATATGCCCAGTCTGTGGTGTCCAAGTCACCATCAACCACATTCTTACTGAATGCCGAATACACCATAGCATCATGATTAGTCACAACCTGCCGAAATACTCCAAACTATATACTCCTTGCCCTTTCCAAAGTCAACACTATCCAATTTATCACCAAATCTTCAAACCAAAATTAAAAATTAATATTTAGTCCATTATTTGTAAGTCCAAGCCCCATTTCTCATTATAACGATTTTCTTATTTAGCTGTAATCAAAAAACGAATAGTTTTAGATACTTGAAATGTACACCATATATGATTATATGATTAATTTATATACTTGATCAAATTTTCAAAATATTTTGATTCGTTTTGAGCTGTTTACGGACATTTTCAATTTTCAATTTTTTTGGTATTTTTTCTACAATTGTTAGTAAAATTTTATTGGTTGGGTCAAAAAGTTTGAAAATTTAATACAAGACTCCTGATATATATATTTTACTATATAAATTGAAAAATATTAAAGTATTAATAGTAAAATATTAGTAAAATATTAGGTACAATTTATTTTTAAGCCATTTAAAATTCAAATTTTGGTAAAATTCATATCATTCATAATTTACAAATAATTTTATACTAAAAAATTTATAAAATTTTAAAATTGTAAAAATTGTATAGCTAAGGGTTGAAAATTTAAAACAAAGTTCCATGTAGCTACGTTATTCTGTAACCAAAAACTATAAAAATAAAGAATCCTAGTTTTTTTTTTTTAGATTTTTTTATGTTCGAATACAGACGAAATAACATAGTAAATAACAAAGAATAATGATTTATGTTATTTTGTTGTAAATATTATTAAAAATATTGTTAAATATATTATTCATGGGTAGGTACTTGAACCTTTTAAAATATATTATTATACTGTATACACACAATGACTTTTCAAATGTATTTTTTTGGCAAAATCTATGCTTACTAGAAAAATAAATTACTTTAATCACAATAATATCATCAAATAATATACTAAATTATACTAAGTAATATTATAGGCTGTCGGACCGTCTTCGCTCAGAATCGTTTTCCGTATACAATGACTTTATATCACTCAATTCACATTACAATGACCCACTTGTAACCTACTGGAGAGAAGAGCGACATTCATTTACCCACTTTGTATGTGTTGTATTCTTGTACATAATAGTAAAATACAATATAAAAATATTGCACTAATAATATTATTTATTTGTGAATAGAAATAATAGGATGATAACTATAATAAGAATAGTTTCGCGCGTTCAATGAACGTTTTTAATACATAAAAGTACATTTTTTCCTTTTTTCATTTTATTTTTGTATATTATTTGGTGATTTTGTAATATATTTTACTCTGCTATTAGTTATTTAAAATGAAAACTAAAAGAAAGAGTGGTGAAGATCAAATCAGAGAAAGAAAAAGGAAACTACAAAAAACATTAAGTTTACTTGACTCAAGCAGTTTAAACATCGACCTATGTTTTTCATCCTCTGTGATTCAGTTATAGAGTAATAGAAAATAAGCAATACATTATTCATTATACTGTGTACCTAAGATAAATTATTAAACACATTATGGAATCTTAAGTTGTTTTGATGAGAATGTTAAAGATTGGAAAAGGATGCAACATTCATTTATTAAAACTTAGGTAAATACGTTTAATTTTTGCACATTTTGACATTTTGTGATACCGAAATAGCAAGGGTCGGTCAAAACATAAATTTCCCGGGCTGAATATAGTTGCTCCAATCCATCCCAGGAGTATAGTGGTATACAGGGGTAAACCGTAAAATGTTATCCACTACTCCGCTCTTCTAAATTTCATATGTTTATACAGTTATAAGTTTATAGCTAATAAACTAATTATTCAAAATATGGTCTTTATAGATTAAAATACTTCAAACAATATTCTTCTTCGGAATATGAAATCAAAAATCTATGGTGTAGTTCAAAAGTAAAATTTAAAAATTATAAAGATATGAAATAATAATATTAACTTTTTTTCAGAAACGTTTTTTTGAAATGGCTAAACTTATATTCAAAGAATATATTTTCAAAAAAATTTTAAATGTCTAAAATCTACAGATAAAATATAATTGTCTTCATAAATAAACCACATAACTGAGCACTGGTACAGTGGTGGATTTAAGGAGAAGGCCAGGGGTACGTGGGTCCCCCGACCCATAAGATGTGTAAGGAGTAAAAGATTTGTTTCCAAAACAACGACGTTTACAATTTCGTTTATAAAATATTACTTTTAATTATATTTTTTTTATATACAAATATTTTTAATTTTAATACTTTTTTATGTATTTACACCTATATAATACATTATAATTAATAATATATTTTAAAATACCATTATATAATATAAGTGTTTCTATAAAAATATGTAATAATGTAAAAAAATGTTGCTTTCCCCAACTCCCCATCCCCTCAAAAAAAACCGAATCCTAGATCCGCCACTACGCTGGTAGACGTTAGTAAGTATAATATTTAAATATTATACAAGCATCTCAATACCTGAGGAAAATAATAAAACAGTACTAAATATTTATGTTTTTATGCACTTAAAAAAAGTACAAATAAGCATAAATATGCACTTATTATTTTTACATAAATAGTTCATAAAACTATAAACAGTAAAGCTCAGGGTATTCTTAGACTTATTAAATATTTAATTATACAAGGTTTTATAGTTTTACTTTTAAAATTAAATAATTTATAGAATAAATACACCGGTACATACATAAATTTTTATTTTTAAATTTATAAAACATAGGATTTATAAAATAACTACAACAATAAATAGCTGTAAAAATTCTACTTATTAAAATTATTTCAAATTTCTCTATTCAATTACATATTGGCCAATCGAATAAAAGACACCATACAATTAGATAAACCACTAAATAACTAATAAAAAATCATTTTAATTAAATTATGTTAGGTATAATTTTGTCTATTTTGGGTCGAAATAATGCGAAAGTAGTTCCATCCAGAATTCTCGATTCATTAAAAAACAAAAATATATACTTACTTTCAACATGCAATATTTCATTGAATCATTAAAACATTTTTAACATTATCAAGATTAAATGATCACCAAACTTTTTATTTGCAAACCCTAGTTAAACAAATCTAGTTTAACTCCTGCAAGTCTTGGATAATGCAAAATTATACAACATCATCAAAATTCGAACAATCTAAAATATTACAATAAGAAAATTAATAACTGTCCAATTCCGCGTATCTAACCACTTAATACATTCGTATCTGGATTTACTCTATAGTCACTCATTTATTTATAATAGCTACATAATTTAAAAATTAAATTCAAAGTTGTTAAATTATTTTCTTGGATTTAAATTGTTGACACACTTTAATTTAAATTAATATGAAAAGGTAAATAAGTAAATAAAAAATATTGAGTAAATAATTTTTATGCTTAGATATTTTGCCGTACAGTAGTGATTTGTTTTTAGAATAGGCAAATTGTTAAATTCTCCCTTGAATATCAGGCATAGTATTCTACGGTGCTATACATATCATATGATACACTATGGCTTCACATACCTGCATGTTTTAAACCTTAATTAAAACATTTGCATGTTTCTGCATAGTGCGAAAAAGATAAAGAGGGGATTGAACCCCCCCCCCCAATGCTGTATACTACTGCTTCGTGGTCTTTATTATCGATTAACAACTTATATCCTAACAACGGATATCATTGCAGGGTGGTTCTCATTAAAAAAAAAAGTTTGCCTTGCCATAGATCTCACCTAAAGGTGCACAATAGACTTTTAAAATATGATTCTTAAGTGCCTAACTACACTAAAAAAAAATCCAAAAACCAGAATTTGAATAAATTCACTATTTAAGGAAAAAATGGGGGATGGTCGTGATTGGCGAATCACCCTGTATATTATATAACACGCACACACTCTCGCACACACACACAAGCACGCACGAATACATTGAAGGATAAGAGTGGGATGGTTTTGGCACGAGGAGCATACAGGTCCACGCACCAGCGGATCTCTGTGGCTTTTGTGTGTACTTAGGATGCGATTATCCTTTTTACAGCCGGACCCGTCGAAGAAGGGGCGTCATCCTGCCTCCACCGCCAACACCGCCACCAACGCCACCGCCTTCCAACACCGTCTACTCGCCGCAGCATTACTCCCGAGCGGAAAATGCGGTGGACAATTGCAGGTAAGAAACCTCTCGACTACGTTAAAATAATTACTTACCTTTAACCCGACGCCTAATTTAGTACATATTAAATTCGCATGCACAATATTATACTATTATTATTATTAATATTATGCTATACCTATAATGATATTACGATAACGTGGATTTAGTTCAGCGACTTTAATATCATTTAGGTGTGTGTTGCAGACTGCAGATCGTATAATATCATAATATTATTAAATTACATAACCTCGTCAACACTCTCGAATCGTTCCCACTTTATCGTGCGCCGTAAATCGGATTAAGTTCATACAATATTATGTATTACGTAAAATGTTCGTTTTAACTCAATAGGCATAAGTGAAGCAAATTATTATAATATACAATATAATAAATACAATATGTATTTTAATACTTCGATATTAGACAGATGTTCGTGTCTTGTATGATACACAGTTATAGTTCTTTTATCGAATTTTCGGAACCTAACTGTAACAACAAAGAGAAAATTATATGATGTAAGTACTTATTAACAAGGTGAAAGTTTGACAAATCTGCAGTTGGTACCCATGTTTTTTTTTAATTACGATTAATACCTATATATAAAAGTTCAGATGATGATTTAAAAACCCCTCTTTTTAAATTAATTTCGGTTTTAAAAACAAATGATTAAATCGTATTTTGTAACAAATTATAAAGAAATGTTATGGGCGCCGTATCGAGCATTTTTTGTGGGCTTTATTACGCACTTTGTGCGGTAATGGACGGCGCTGAATGTATACATACGCGTATATTTATAATAATGTAACTGGTTATAACTGTTAAATATCACTGTTGCATAGTGGGCACGAGGCGTGGGTAAGGCGTTCGGTGTAATGGTGTATCGTCGTGGTCGGAGAGGAGGGAAAGGGGTTGGCAACCGTTTGTCCGTTAATAGATCGCGCATCAAAATCGGCACACGCGTTTCTAAGGCAGTATTCGCATCATGACTTTGAAAATAATAATATTAATCCGCAGTTTACAGCCAATTTCGAGACGACGCGAAAACAAAAAATTTCGTTCGCCTCGCAATCCCCCTTCCTGTCGGGTGTACCCTTCTTCTCCACCCCACACTCCACTCCACACCCCCCTGGATCACCCCGACCCGCGACCGTGACGCTCGGCAACCACGCACGGGGAGAGACGATTAATATTATAATATATATATATACATTGTATTATAAAAAAGACTTATCGCCAGAGATTGAGGTTCGCGGCGGCTTGGCGCCCGGTCAAAAAAAAAAAAAACAGTCTCCGGGCGTGCGTCTATTTTTGGCCCGGCGGGCGAACGGATACACGACGGGCTTATGTGCGCGATACGGTTACACACACCGCCGTGGTGGAGGGACGACGACGTTCAGTGTATATTTTAAATGTTTATATTGTATCCGACGACGACGACGACGACGACGACGACGTGGTAAACATTTCGCAGTGACTTGCCCGAGCCAGCAGCGACGAGTGTCCGTCTGTCCCCGCAAACGACAATAATATTATAACATCATATCATAGCACAGAGAGCGTTACCGTGACGCCGCCGGGCGGGTTTCGAAAGTTTGACACTTACAAACAATCGTATCGGTATTAGAGTATACTGCGATAACGATGCGAAAGTCCTCCGAAATGTATACTGATAACGCCGGCCAGTAGGTACGTGCGAAACAATTCCAATTACGAATTATAATAATTTATAATATAGTTTGCAATAATATTTTTTAACTACACACTTCGCCTTCAAACAAGGTGATTTTTTAAGCATGCTCGCCATAATTTTGTGCTCAAATTATGCGTACATTCAAATTCTGATTTTTGGAATTTTAAAATACGAACACTCGAAGAACGTATTATTATTTTTGAATCGCTGCGATTTTTTGTAACACTTAAGAATGATCCTTTGACAATGCAAGCTTCTGTTTTCTTTCATATAGAAACTCCGCTTTTTCATTTTCAATCATCAAGAAGATATTTTTTTGAGAATTTTTTGTGTACTTAGATACACTCGATGTCAAAATTCAAGAGAGTAGTTTTGAGTTATATGACTGTGTACTGAGGATAATTCCTATGCTTATGGTAATGGGTCAAGTCGATATGAGGGCTTTGACGATTTGAAAAAGTTAGCAATTGCTATTGATTTATCAATACAAATAATTTGCAAAAATTATCCAATAGTATAAATAGTATAATAAATATTAAATACTACACCTAATATCACAAATTAGCAGCATAAGCAGACTTAATACTTCTAGTACAACGTCCGTTTATAATAATGATAATAATGTTATTTTATATTATTTTATTAATTACAATTTACACATATTATGTGCGAATAAGGGAGTGGTCGAGGGTGCTAGGAAATTGGTAGTTAAATTTCTCCGAATAGTTAACTTAACAAATTTCTTGTAAACTATGACCTTTGTTTGGATTTTAAATTTTTTTTTGTTTAATCACTTTAAAAAACAAATGTTTAGAGGTACGACACATTTTTGATTTCAAATCAATAGCTTAATCTCGAATAATTCATGTACGTATATAACGGTAGACAAATATCTGCATTAATTTTAATAATTTTAATCAACTTTTTTTTATCGATTTAATAAAATGTGAAAATAAATAAGCATATGGGCTAATCACTCTCTTATTCTTAATGAACGCATAATATTATATACATATTATTTATAATATTATAATATAAATCTATAATATATGTTAAGGGCAATGCACACAGTGCCCGATCAATTTGATCCTGTCCATACAATTTGAAAAATGAATACATACAAATTGTTTTTTATGAAATATTTTCTATTACATTTATTATTATTATACCCAATAATAATTGTGTAATATTGATAAAAAAAACAAACAACAATTGATTATTTCAGTGTTAATTATAACTGTATTATTACCAACCTATTTATTTTATTCTAAATATCTTAAAAACCATGATAATAATGGTAATAATTATTATACCTATTATTGATAACACAACACTATGAAAGTAAATACTAAAAGTCAATTTTGAGGTTCTTTAGAATTGTATTATTGCCTATCATTATTTCAACATGATTTATTAGAATGGCATTTAGAATTGCAAAGACAGTCTGCTTTCCTACACTTGCATTTAATTATTTTGCGTACAAGTACATCGATCATCCTTCAATATTAAATATAATACCCAATATCATACTAATATCCCAAGTCCCAATCATTGTTATTCAGAATAAAATAAATATTTTAAAATATATAATATAAAATTAATTATTTTTTTCGTTTTTTCGTCAATATTATATTATAATAAAATAATTAGTAATGAAAGATAGAAAATATACTGCACAAAAAATAATTTTGTAACTTCGCTTAAAATATTGTCCAGGCCAGACCAAATCGACATGGCAATATGTATCTACATTGTCCGGTATTCCACATTACCGATTACATAATATATATATATATATATTATATATGCATAATATAAAAGCATACTCACGAAAATGATTTAATTAATATTATAACAAACGATAGAAGTTAAAAAATATTTTCTGTTTCAGCGCTTAAATATTAACAATATTAAAACATGAAATAATCTCAGTGGCACACCAAGAATTTTACTTTGGGGAGGACTGATTATTTTTTATTTAAGGAACCTTTAGCCCCTTTAATCCCAATCCACCATAAATTCTCCTGTAATGATGTGGGTAGGTATATTATTTTTAATTTTGGTGTCTGCACATTTTTTTTCTTGTACTAAACTGCACTATTAATTAAGCTATTAGTAACTCTTTAACCGCTGATTTTATATGCAGGGGCGGGATCGCGAGTGATGAGGGTATCATCTCCTCCCCACATTTGGCTTTTTTTTGTCGTATAAAAAATATGATATTTGATAAAACAATGAAAGTATATTTACGCTATATTACGTGGAGTAGTATGAATTTGTTGGTTCTGGCTCCATTTTTACAGGGAGATGAAAAAAGCTGAGGAATAATGATTTGCTAACAGTGATTCCAATCTCCCTGAAAAAATTAAGCCAGAACTAACAAATGCATACTACTAACGTGGTATGAGAGCACTGCATCTATGTTTATCGATCCTCTTAATTGTATAAGAAAGAGTGAAAGAAAATATGAATTTCCTTTAGTATTAATGAAAATTCGACATTTCTAAATTATTTCAATAATAAACTCTATTTCAAAAAAAAATAAATATAACAAAAAGCAATAGCAAGCCACCTAATTAGAATTTCCACAATTTCATTAATGCTTAACATTATTTTTAAACAAAAGTATTAAATAAATAATAGTCTACAGTAGTACAGTCAGAATATTTTTTTCATAATAATGTTGTTTGGCATTTTTGCTTTCCACCGTCACAATGCTCGTCCAAAATTGTTTCATCTGAAATGTTAATATCTCTATGAATATTTATTAGATAACAAAGCCAGATCAACAAGTCAACAGGACGTACTCAACTCCGATACCACAACCGATGCGTAACGGTACACACTCGAAACTTGAATGTGGAATATTCAAATACTATAGAATTTATTGAAAAGCAAAAAGATAAGAAAATAGAAAAGAAATTAAAATCTATAAAATTAATCTATAAATTACAATCTTGAAACATGGTTACACATTTCATAGAAGTTATAGAAATATAGAACCCAGAATAAGTCTGAATTATTAAATGTTCTTGAAATTTCATTAAAGGGTAGCTTATTCCTAGGCTGCTGACTATGACATCACTGATAGAATATATTTTTCAGTTGATTAATTACATAGGAACCTACGTGGTATGTTAATATAATATATTAATATGTTTTACAATGTCAGTTCTAATTCACAATTTCAGATGTTTATTTATTATTATTCAATAATTTACATTGGGTAAAGGGTAAATATATTCATCATATTCGACTAATTATTATTGGAAGTATCTTCTCATATATATATATATATATATAAACATATCATCATATTAAATTA